AAATAGAGAATTTTAAATCAAAGTTACCCACATACGCACTGAACTTTTATTGAAAATCTTACCAAAGCCTGTTCCAACTTAGAACTAAGCATACAATGGCTGAATCGGTGTGGTTTTTTCACACAGTATTTGACTTTATGGTGCTTATTCAAAGACTACATTCTGAACCAGATTTACTTAGCTTGATGCTCCAGAAATTAATTTGGTTTCATTTAGAGATACGACACACCATCTGGCTTTGGTACAGTGCATTTCCCAGGAAGGAATAACCAGCTACCTGAGAATAACAGCATCTGAACACAACTCAGGCAAGAGAAGGCAGTCAGCAACTCCATATTCTGAAGGGTCAGCCACTGTGCTCACATGTGAAACGGGATATGTTGCCTTCATCTCTGAAGGCCTAAGGAAGTGGGGCACTGAATTGAGAAGGGGAAGCAAGACAGGACACCCAGAAGAGAGAAGAACAAAGAGCAGGAAATGCTGGACTGTTTCAGGGACTGCAGGAGAAAGGCGTGGAAGGTGGCTGGTAAGTCACAGGAGCCCTAGGAGGTAAAACAGTAAGGTGATTGCCATGGTCTAGTCTAAATTGATAGCAGCTCACGCTGTATTTGGAATATGCACTGCTAATTTTAAAATACCTGTACAAAAGTCATATGCACTTCTTGATACAAGGATCACTTCATAAAAACGTCATATTAATCCATAAATTGCTATCAGAATGTGAGATAAACAATATAACCCTCACTTTTTCAATCACATTTCATTTAAGAATTTTAAAAGTCACCTCAAAACCAAGAACCTGCAAACGTAAACAGAACAAGAGTGCAGGGAGCAAAAGAAGGCATCGTCAGATTGAAGTATCCCTTTAGAGCAGTAATGTCCAACATTTTAGCAATTTCTTTACCTGTCCCTGTTGAACTTGTCACATTCTCTGACAGCGATGCATTTTGAGATGTTTCTTCTTCCCTTTCTGAACTTCTTAATTCAGGTAACGTAGAGGACTTTGTAACGGCAACAGGAGATGCATTCTCAGGTGATGCACTGAACGGGTTCTCTGGCTCAAGCACACCTTGGTCACCATCTCCCATCGCCTCCTGATGACAGAGTCCTTCTCCAGGAGCCTCCCGCAGATCTGCCCCTGCCTGCTCCCAGGAGGCCGGCAGCTTGCAGCCCTCATCTGCCCGCATCGCGCTGGCAGCAGGGCGAAACAGGGCCTCGCCGGACGGCTCCGTGCTGCCGGCCTGGCTGGGCCCTGCAGGAGGCTGCTCTGCTGCCCGTGCTCCCGTAGGGACAGCTGAGGGGCAGCTCTCCGAGGCAGCTTCCATCTCCAAAGGCTGAGCTCAACTTTTTAACCTTTCTGCAGGAACGCCCGCCGTACCTATTAAAAACACAAACAGGTTTGTTGTTATCATCACAGGAGCGGCAATATCCTGAAAAGCTTCTCCTAAATTCTTTCCCAAGCAGCCTATTTAGAACAGCTTCAAGTCTCAGTTTTCACTCAATGCAAAACACTCAGCATCTTACTGCTCTGTGACAGCTCCAGTGTGCCAGCTGGCAGCCAGCAGAGCCTCTGTATATACATATACGCATGAATATAGCTGAGAAGGAATACACGGGTATTTTATATACACTGACAGGGGAGATTCGGGAATCCGCGGAAGAGTAGAACCCCGCCCGGCCCGGCGTGGTGCCGGTGTGACGCTGGCCCCGCCCACAGCCCCGCGCCCCCCCGGAGGTGCGTCCGCGCGGCTGTGCCGGCAGGGCCCGCGCCAGCGCCCTCGCATCGGCCGTCGCGCCAGGTGCTGGGTACCGCTCAGCGCCGCGGGCCGCTCCCCGCCCCGGTGCCATCTCCGCAGGGCTGTCGCAGGACCTCCCGTCCCGGGCGGCTCTCCATGGTGGCGCCGCGCGCACGGGCAGCGCGTCGCGGTAGCCATGGCAACGCAGGGCGGGGCTGGAGGAGCAGTTGCGCGTGCGCGGTGAAGCCAAGCAGGAGATGGCAGCGTCGTCTCCGCGGCTGCTCGGCGGCGGATGCCGGGGCTGTGGCGCCGCTGTGCGCTCGCCTCCTCGCTGCGCGCCGTCCCGCGCTCGGTGCGAGGCTCCGTAGGCTCATGTGCGAAGGGCCGCTGCCTTCTCTCTTAGTCCTGAGCTGAGCCTGAGCTCAGAGCAGAACCGGATGGGGAGTGACGTACTCCGTGGAAAGAGCTCTGCTTTATCACCATCGTAACCACCTTCAGCATCCAACTCAGCTTCAGTTTGGAAAATGTTTTCTCCTCCCCCCTCTTCCAGTTACTTTGTTCTTCCTCTTGGCAAAGAATTAAACTAATCAGGAACACTGCCCACGCACTGATCTCTCTCAGCACTCCGATCTACTGTCTTCCCTCCCTTTGTTCTCAATAACCTGCAACTTACTAATTATTAATTTAATAATTTTGGATAGCATAAATGGAGTTAATTCCTGCTTTCTAAAATAGTACAGCAAAATTTAGCCAGCAATAAAGCAGAAGTTATAATGCATGCTGAAAATTTGATAAAAATCTGAAAAATCCTTCTCTTAGTGATTTCTAGACTTTATCTTCACAGTAGAACCATTCTAACACTTAGGATAATGGATTCCTAAATTAAAGTATGAGCAAAAGCTAATTCAGTGTTTTGGATAGATAAAAAGAGCAATCCTATTTTGAGAGATTTGAAAGAACCATTTATAGAGCAGCCAAAGCACTGTGTCTATAAATAGGAAACATAGCTCTAAAAATACCCGTCAAGGCAGTAAGTTAGTCTGTTGCAAGGACTTATTTCTGCATTTGAGAAAGGGAGGTGAACTTCTGGAGAGTGGAACCTGACCTCGGTGCCAGGGAAGGTTATGGAGCAGCTCATGTTGAGGGAGATCACACGGCAGCAGGACAACTGGGGATCAGGCCTAGCCAGCATGGGTTCACGAAGGGCAGGTCCTGATTGACCAACCTGATCTCCTTCTATGACCCAGTGACCCGTATGGTGGACGAGGGAAAGGCTGTTGATGTAGTCTACCTGGACTTCAGCAAAGCCTTTGACACTGTCTCCCACAGTATTCTCCTGCAGAAACTGGCAGCCCGTGGCTTGGACGGGTACATTCTTGGCTGGGTAAGGAACTGGCTGGAGGGCCGGGCCCAGAGAGTGGTGGTGAATGGAGGTAAATCCAGCTGATGACTGGTCACAAGTGGAGTTCCCCAGGGGCCGGTGCTTGGGCCTGTCCTCTTCAATATCTTAATTGATGACCTGCATGAGGGCATTGAGTCCACCCTCAGTAAGTTTGCAGATGATACCAAGCTGGCTGGAAGTGTCGATCTGCCTGGGGGTAGCGAGGCCCTACAGAGGGATCTGGACAGGCTGGATAGCTGGGCTGAAGCCAATGGGATGAGGTTCAACAAGACCAAATGTGGGGTCCTGCACTTTGGCCACAATAACTCCAGACAACGCTACAGGCTTGGGGCAGAGTGGCTGGAAGACCGTGTAAAGGAAATGGACCTGGGGGTATTGATTGATGCTTGGCTGAACATGAGCCAGCAGTGTGCCCAGGTAGCCAAGGTGGCCAATGGCATCCTGGCTTGCATCAGGAACAGTGTTGCTAGCAGGAACAGGGAAGTAATTGTTCCCCTGTACTTGGCTCTGGTGAGGCTGCACCTCGAGTACTGTGTCCAGTTTTGGGCCCCTCACTGCAAGAAAGACATTGAGGCCCTGGAGCGGGTTCAAAGAAGGGCAACAAAGCTGGTGAGGGGTCTGGAGCACAGGCCTTATGAGGAGCAGCTGAGGGAGCTGGGATTGTTCAGTCTGGAGAAGAGGAGGCTCAGGGGAGACTTTATTGCTCTCTATAACTACCTGAAGGGAGGTTGCAGTGAGCTGGGGGTCGGCCTCTTCTCTTGTGTAACTAGTGATAGAACTAGAGGGAACAGCTTCAAACTGTGCCAGAGGAGATTTAGGCTGCACGTTAGGAAATACTACTTCTCTGAAAGAGTAGTTAGGCATTGGAATGGGCTGCCCAGGGTGGTGGACAGACCCTAGAGGTGTTAAGGAACATCTGGATGTTGCGTTGTGGGACGTGGTTTAATGAGAACTATTGATGATTGGTGGATGGTTGGACTGGGTGATCCTGTGGGTCTTTCCCAACCTTGGTGATTCTGATTCTGTTTTCAATGCCGGCTATCAAATTTCATCACTAGTGGGACAGTAGGAGACTTCTGCCCTACAACATAATTCACAAGCTTGTAGGAGAGATAATTCATATAACAAATACAGCTTTAGAAGCAGAGTATGTAATGGAATGAGAGCTCAGCTATCTCTGTCATGAAAGAATAGAAAAAAATTGCTATAGCTGTTACTGCATTTTGCCAGTGTTTCCACCTCAAGAATTACTAGCCAAAATACTTTGTTTTGGGGTCCTCCCCTTCCTTTTAATCACATGAGTTCAGTACCTACTACCTAAAACTGTTTGTCTTCATTTCTCATCTGATATCATTCACGCTCATTCAGGTTTACAATCCTTTAGTATTTCTCACATGGAAATTGTTTGCAAGTCACAGTTAAGTCCTTTTCTATAATGCCACCTAGTGGCTTTATCTTAGAAGAAACCAGCTTTTACTTTTCACAAAGTTGAAATAGCTGTCAAGATCTACCAATGAAGTATAATATTTTCAACTTTTTGAATTGTGGAGAGTTTAAGACTTCTGTGATTTCACCAATAATCAGTGGAAAAAATCCCTCTAAAGTTGCTGTAGAAGTAATTACTCAAGTCCCTGCAAGCAATACATAGTTTATACTGGCTATACCCAGTAGGTTCTCTTCCACTTGCCTAATGCTCTAATACCTTACCTATACTCATATATCTAAGATATAATTAGTCACAGGTAATTAGACAGAGCTAAACTGACAGATCTCAAGTCTGTATACCTATTATAAAGTATGTATGTAACATAATGCACTGGGACTGTCAACCTTTAATAAGCTGCAGATTTTTGTCATACAGCTCATCTTTAAACTTGCATCAACTTTATTAATGGTACTGAGAAACTGTGAGCAAAGACAAACTTGTACATTGTCCCTGGATCTAATCTGTCAAACTTAGATTTCTAAAGTAGTTTTGAGACTGGAGATGTGTGGCTAGGATCTTCTTTCAAGCATTAAGATGGAAAGAGCACACGTCAACAAAAATCCATTATTTTTTCTTAACAGTAATATTCCAGATCTGAATCAGTAATTTACAAATAAACCTATGAAGTACACGCTTATATACAAAACCAAATTCTATACATACAAAATCAGAGCGATATTAAAGTTTTGTTCCATATATATCATGCTAAGTATGGTAAGCTACGTGTAAATCAAGAAACCTGTTCCTGCTACACAGCACCCTCCTGAGCCGGAATTAGTACTTATATGGCCAGTGGAGTCAGCTAGTTTGGGACAGTGATTCAGCTGAAAACTAAAAAACGCTATTTTTGGTAAGCCTGACTTGCATTAATCAGATCCCTACTACTGGTATCTGCATGGTCATACAGACATTGGTACTGGCTTTACAAAGATGGCAAAAACACACAACCATCAATGGGAGAAAAAGGCAGAATCATGCTTTTCTACAACTTTGATTTCGATTTCAAATGAAATACCTGTATCTGCTAATATACAAATACAGATAATAACATTATCATCATGCACAAATAAATACCCTGTTAATCAGCAAATGACAAAAAGAAATAAATCAATGGTTGTAAAGAAGCTGACTATTCTCAAAGCCATTTTTGCAATCTTTAAATTTCTATGTACAGTGAACATTAAGACAAAACATGGTTTTATGAAGTCACTTTTTTAATTTAAAGGTACTGTCAGTAATAGATTATATTTTAACTTTTTTGACTTTCAAGAGATTACACCATTTTCAGTATTATATTGGCCATCTCCACTGGTCAGTAGGAGGTTCTTCAACTAGAGGCTCCCATGGTTTCCACTGTAACATTTTTCTTGCCAGGGAAAGCTCATTTTCAGCCTGTTAATAAAGACCATAAAATAAACAAGTTCTTCAATTCTATACAACTGCAAGAATATTAAACTACCTTCAGTTCAGTTCATCATCTCAGTGATGTGCCACTACCTGTCGTAATTGGGGACAATCTCAAATTTTGTTTAACTATGGTATTTCTTCTCCCCCAAAAGTAGTTGTGTGAATTTAAGATGTGCCAAATCACCCCCAAATGCCTGTAGTTTGTTCACCTACTCATTCCTAATGACTACTTTACGATATGCTCATCCCTGACATTTTCCAGTCTATTTGGATTAACCGCCCATATCATCCTGCCATCTTATGTCCTTTTTTTTGGGTTGATTCAGAATTTGCGAGGTAAGTATGCATGGTATATATATTAGGCATAATACAGTAAAAGTGAATTATCACATTCATTTTTAATATGGTCATCCATTCCCTATATGATGATTCAGACTCTTTTATATACATAGATATATACATATACATATATATAGATTAATACACATACATATATATATGTATATGTATATACACACACGTTTACATGCTGTTTTGCAGCAGAGGAAAAACGTGGAAAAAATGCCCATTTTCTGAACAGCCAAAGAAACACTAAAAATTACTCACTCAACTTACACCTGATCTTAAATTTCCCTCCTTTTACCTGTACAATGACTTCTTCTATTTGACCACCATTCAGTTTGTCCTGTAGTTTCTGCACATCAGTTTCCTGAGTATTCAAACAAATAAAGATTTAGCTTTACTGAAAAGTAGAAAGAATAGACACGTCGTGAAAACATTAATTAGGGCAGATCATACTCCAGCCTTCCTTTAAGTTCTTTACAGAGAGAGTGGTGAGTTCTGGAACAGGCTGCCCAGAGAGGTTGTGGATGCCCCGTCCCTGGAAGTGTTCAAGGCCAGATGGCAGCCTGGGCCCTGGGCAGCCTGGTCTAGTATTAAATGGGGAGGTTGGTGGCCCTGCATGTGGCAGGGGGGTTGGAGATTCATGATCCTTGAGGTCCCTTCCAACCCTGGCAATTCTGTGATTCTGTTATTCCACAAAACTACTATCTAGTTAGCTGGTCTTTGTCATTTACTTCATTTAAAAAAAAAAAATAAATCCCTCACAGGTTTCTTATTGGAAACCAAACATCAACCTCTCCATGAGAAATACTAAAATAGAGTACTATTTAATGACTTCCTAACAGGCGTTAATAACCAAGGGCTGCAGTATATAACCTTCAAAGAAGATTTTGATATTAAATTTTATAGAGAATGTTATGCAACCTCCTAATAGTTACTTGCTTTCAGATGTCCAAGACAAAGATTGTATTAATGTAACACACTGGTAAGAGGACACAGTTTTTGTGCAAACGTGAAAAACACATACCAGTTTCATCAATCTTAAAAAGTACTTATTCTTCTAATTTTCACAGGCAGTATGATTAAGAAAGCAATTATTTCTGATATACCATCAAAATACTCAAGACTGTGATTATTTCTGAATTGATATTTCAAAGTTATTTATACCCCTGGAAAACAGCGAGTCATTTGAAAACCTTTTTGTCATCTTACAAATCTTTCCATGTGTAACACTCATGAAACAGCACCATACTTACTGTTTGCACCAAATTATATCTCTGATTTACAATCTGTTCTGTGTACTTCCTATACGCCGCATCTTTGGGAATGTTCTGCAGGACAGCAAGGATTTTGGAGTACAGTATTCGCAGGCGCTGAAACAATCACAACATGTGGTTAAAGTTTGCAACCAGAATTATATAATTACTCGTCCCACTAAGCCTAACAGCACTCTATGTTTTGTGTTATAGATAGTTAGGGTATTCAAATGTAAGATTAACAAAATGACCAGGCCTGAAACACAGAATTCTGTTTTAGATGAGACTGGGATTTGTCAGAACCAAGAAATTACCACTAGCAGATTGCTTAACTGCAATGTTAAGCATATTTAATGCAGAGCTGAAACAACAAAAGCTGCAGGTCTAGTACTAACCATACTTCTCACAAATCAGGCAAACTCACATTTAAACCAGCTTCTGAAAAATTACCTGAGAAAGATATAAAGAAGCACATAATCTTCCAGAGTGTAACTTGTTTTTTTGTTTGGTGGTGGCATTTAACACTTCTTCTTATGCTGGTACAAAGTTCTGAGTGATAACCAGATCTAAATAAAGCTAAAACCTCAAACTTCTATTGCTGAATTTAAACATAGTGATGAAGGCCACATGAGGATCATGAATAAATAACACTTTTGTCTCTTTTGCTGGGTAGCTAGCTATCTACCCAAAGAAGAATGGATATCCTATAGGAACAATATGCAACTTAACCGGAATACTGCAGTGATAAATACAAAGAAAATACAGAAAATGAAAGGGGGAATGGCACAGAACCTATACTTCTGAGCACGGCACTATTGATTTCTCTGCTCTAGAAACTGAATCACTGGGGAAAAAACAACAAAGTTTATCAACTACACCTAAAAGGTACCTGACAAAGTTGTAAACTACAGTCATTTGTTTATAACAATATTCTTTGCCACAATTGTTGTTTCTTATACTGCTTCTAAATATTGGTAGCATTTCTGAAATAGAACTGTTGCATAGTTGGGAATTTCAAAGCAGAGATAAATTAAAGAATTACTCAAGTCCTTTCAAAGCTCATGCCTCCACAATTAAGATGTGGCAAACATACTTTCATTACTGATCCTGGGGAGCAAAAAGCAAGCACCAAATTGCTACACAAATCCCTGACCATTGATTCTGAGAACCACTGAGGTATTGCAGTGCTTGCCATCACAAAGCCCTGAGCCTGCTTTGCAACAAATGGTGCCTATTTAGGGTGAAATCAGCCTTCTCCCTTGGTACAGATAGAGATTATTTCAGCTTTTTTTGGAAAATACAGCACAATAGAGTAGGAAAACACCTATATGCTTCTGAATTCTGCAGGTGCCATGAGCCAGCAGTGTGCCTTGGTGACCAAGAAAGCCAATGGGATCCTGGGGTGTGTTAAAAGGAGTGTGGTCAGCAGGGAGAGGGAGGTGACCCCTCTACTCTGCCCTGGTGAGGCCTCACCTGGGGTACTGTGTCCAGTTCTGAGCTCCCCGGTACAAAAAAAACCACGGCCCTCCTGGAAAGAGTCCAGCGGAGGGCCCCAGAGATGATAAAGGGCCTGGAGCACCTCTCTCATCAGGAAAGGCTGAGCAACCTGGGCCTGTTCAGCCTTGAGAAAAGAAGACTGAGAGGGAACATGATCAATTTCTATAAATAGGTGAGGTGCAGGAGACAAAGGGATGAGGCCAAACTCTTTTTAGCAGTGTGTGGCAACATGACAAGGGGAAACAACAAATTGAAGCACAGGAAGTTCTGCACAAATGCATGTAAGAAATTTTTCACAGTAAGGGTGATGGAACACTGGCACAAGCTGCCAAGAGAGGCTGTGGATTCTCCTTCTTTGGAGATGTTCAAGACCTACCTGGACACCTACCTGTGTAACCTGGTCTAGGGAGCCTGCTGTGGCAGGGGAATTGCACTACATGATCTCTGGAGGTCCCTTCCAGTCCCTACAATTCTGGGAACCGGATGTTACATTTATGAAGGATTGCATTTAAGAAGTTCTTCACTTTTACTTTGGAGATGGAAGATAAATGACGTGCTGGTTCATAACAGCACTTACGGCAGAAAGGTTCTGAAACCAACATTTACGGCACAGCTGCACTTACACGCACAAACCCTTCACAGAAACGCTCTCACTGACGGCACGCACCACGCTGGGAATAGGACACACAACGTACCTCGTGGGGGTTTTCAGCCACGGCCAATCCCACGAGCCCAGTGGTCTGCACAAAGCACACAGAACCAATTACTGCACCGAAGCCATCACTCCCACACCGTTCCGCAGCGGTGCGCCGCCCCCGACCCAGCCCTGCCTGTGACACGAGCCGCCCTTCCGCCCGACTCTCGCACGAAGCCGCAGCGCTCCGAGCGCCGCGCTCAGTACAGCCGGCAGCCGCGGCGGCTCTCGGTGCGCTGACCTCGGCACGCCGGGCCCACCGCCACGCACAGGGCACGCAGCCCTGTTCCCCGCGGCCCTTCTCCCAAGACGCCAGCTCGTCCCCAGCCCTTCGCTCCGGCGTTCCTGTTCCCTCCCAGAAAAGCGACCAGAGCCCAGCTGAAAGCCTCGTAACTCCCCGCTCACCTTCCTCAGCGCTCCCGCCATAGCCGCGCCGCGCTGCACCACCGGGCGCCGCGGGCACCGCCGCCGACTGGGCCGCCAGGCGCATGCGCGACAGAGCGCGGGCGTCTGAGGTCACCAGTTAGAGGACATGGCGAAGGGCGCTGGACTGCGCATGCGCCGCAGTCGCACTCATCCGAGAGCGGAGCCGCGCGGTCCGTAACCGTATGGCTTTGCGCGTGCGCTTGTGCGCTGTGAGCGAAGCGAGGCGGTGCGCGTGTGCGGAGTTGAACGGAGGGAGGTGGGGCTGCGCAGGGGCTGCTGGGTCTGGCGCTTGTGTTACTGTGCTGCCTGCCTGCCTGCCGGCCGGCGGGTCCTGCGAGTTGTGCTTGTGCCTCTGGAGCGACGTGCGGTCCGAGGGCGGGGCCGTGGGGTGGCTGCGCCATAGGAGCGCGCTGCCGCTCGCACTGACGGCGCTTACTTGCCGAATGAATGCGAATCAGCTCCAGAGCTGATTCCAAAGTTTCCTTTGTGAGTCCAACAACTGTATGAAGCCTTAAAGTTTCAAAAGCGTGTTTGGCTGCAGCTGAGAGTGCTCTTCATAGAATCAAGAATGGCCTGGATTGAAAAGGACCTCAAAGATCCTCTAGTCTCAACCCCCCTGCTATGTGCAGGGTCGCCAGCCACCAGACCAGGCTGCCCAGAGCCACATCCAGCCTGGCCTTGAATGCCTCCAGGGATGGGGCATCCACAGCCTCCTTGGGCAACGTGTTCCAATGTGTCACCACCTTCTGTGTGAAAAACTTCCTCCTAATATCTAACCTAAACCTCCCCTGTCTCAATTTAAAACCATTCCCCCTTGTCTTATCATAATCTACACTCATAAACAGTTGTTACCCCTCCTGTTTATATGCTCCTTTCAAGTATTGAAAGGCCACAACGAGGTCTCCCAGAGCCTTCTCTTCTCCAAGCTAAACAAGCCCAGTTTATGTGATTCTTGTGTGATTCTTCTCTTTGAAATAAAAATGACTTTGTCTACTAAACATGAGATTTTAGTATAGTGGCTGTCTTTTAATTATGTGTCAACTTATGTTATTCTTTCATGAAATGCTGCAGTACCAAGGCCTTGGAGAAGTTTCCAGTGTATCAACACTGTTTCCCTACAGCAGACATGTTAAAAGAAATACCACAGTGGTATGTGTGCATTGAGTAATCAGGTCTTAGTAAGGTCAGAAACTTTCTACCTCACAAATACTCATAAAGTTGGGTAAATATTCTGGAATTTGTTTCATAACACAAAGTGTGCATATACCTCCTATGAATTTGCTCCATGGAATTGGTTGGCTAGGAGCTGCAGAATCAAAAGTAAGATTCACTGGAGTAGAATGTGGTAAAGAGGTAATTGTTGAGTTATTGTGTGCAAGGACAAAAGTAAAATACTTTAAAAAATCCACTACATTAAGGAACTTGTGATAGAAGAAGATAAATTGGCAATAAGAAGGCATTTTAAGTTATCAGTGGATGTTGGACAAAATAGTATTAATAACAAACTGAAAAGCAAAACAATGCCATGTGTGTCATATTGATGTGTTAGTTGTGATAGTGCCCTAGTTACATAAAGGAAATGACTCAAGGTGAGCATTTGAAATTTTTATGTTCTTTATAGATATTATAAATCTATATATTTAAAATATTTTTAATGTGTAAGGATATACTCTTGTTCTTATAAGCTGTTGGCAGTTAAGCAGGACACTGGCACTGTTCATGCCTATTTCTATTGCAGTATATTTTGAAGGCTCACCACACTTGTCTGTATCACACTAGCAGAAATTGCATTTAATATTATTTATCATTACTGAATTACTTTCTTATCTTGCATCCAAAGATTAGGTGCATGTCACACATTGGTTAAATTCACAGTTTCACAGTTTTGTATACATGAATGAGTTATGGGGCACAGAAGAGCAATGGAGTTCTGACATTTTGTTCTATCAGGAATTCTCAGTGTAAAATTTCATTGTGTCAGATAGATATATTAACAACACCTTGGACATTTGTTGTTTCAGCTTGTTTTCCCTCCTTGTGTATTCATTTTGGAAAAGATAGTAACAGATCTGATCAAAACAAAAACAAGACTGAGGTATTGTACCAGTGATATGACTGAGGAAAAAAAATGAGCTGGAGGGAAAAAAAAATAATCCAACTTCTTCCACTTTTTGGGTACAGCTGTTCTTCGTGTTACTCCTGGGTTACTGTGTTTTTATATCACTTCTTCTTGCACTGCAGAATGACAGAATCATAGAATGGTTTGGGTTGGAAAGGACACTTAAGATCATCTAGTTCCAACCCTTGCTATAGGCAGGGACACCTCCCTCTAGACCAGGTTGCTCACAGCCCCATGCAGCCTGGCCTTGAATGCTTCAAGGGAGGGGCATCCACAGCCTCTCTGGGGAGCCTCTTCCAGTATCTCATCACCCTCACACTAAAGAATTTCTTCCTGATATCTAATCTGTATCTACTCTCTTCCAGTGTAAAGCCATTACCCCTCATGCTGTTACTATGTGCCTTTGTAAAAAGTTGATCCCCAACTTTCATGTAGGCCCCTTCAGGTACTGGAAGGCCTCTATAAAGTCTCCCTGTATCCTTCTGTTCTTCAGAAGTGCTCCAGCTCTCTCAGCCTGTCCCCATAGGAGAGGTGCTCCAGCTCTCTGATCATCTTTGTGGCCCTCCTCTGGACTGAAACAAACAGCCCTATGTCCTTCTTGTGCTGGGGCCCCAGAACTGGACACAGTACTCCAGGTTGGTTCTCATGAGAGCAGAGCAGAGATGCAGAATCGCCTTCTTTCTGCTGGTCACACTTCTCTTGATCCAACCCAGGATACAGTTGGCCTTCTGGGCTTCAAGCACACACTGCTGACTCATGTTGAGTCTTCTATCAACTGACATCCCCAAGTCCTTCTCCTCAGGGCTGCTCTCAAGCCATTCTTTGCCTAACCTGTATTATCTGCCTGGGATTGCCCTGACCAAGGTGCAATGCAGGACCTTGCCTTTGTGTTCTGTACTGTGTCTCCTGCTTCTTTGACCAATTTCAAGTTATTGAATCTACACAAGTAAGTGCTGTAACTGACTGTCATCAAATCTATAAAGTTTTGCATCATATCAGCTTCAGATATAGTGATTTTATTTGGCCATATAATTTGTCAGAATTTACAAATCTACAAATAGGTAAATGCTAAACCTACCCAGATTCCTTTTAATTTATGTTAATATGTTACAGGATGTTAATGTTATCCTTGAAGCCAAGTTGGCAATTACTTTATGTTCTTAATGAGAGTTGTTGAACCAATGAGGGCACAGATAATCTTACTATACCATCCAGACCTCATGTTACATTTGATGAGATTTTAGAGAAGTCATGTGTAATACTTTCCTGTGGGTTGAGTCTGCTTGTGTTACAGTTGTACAAGGTCAGACCTTAATTTATCAAGCAACTGCGTATTTAATTTTAGAAATATCACAGGACACATTAGCTTGCAGGTCTCTATTCCTGGCTGTTCAAAATGCAGGCCCCAGACTAACAGTGGCAAGATAATGGGTTGAAAAGGTGAGGCTCTACGTTGTGCTCGCCAATTAGACTAACGGTGAAATCATTTAAAACTGTAATATTTAATAGACTGAGTCCAAATTTAGACCGCTGTTATTTTATTGCTGTGAATAACCTCTTTGCATGCCTAAGGGCCTTCTATTTCTAGAGAGAAAAGCTAGGTTTGTCTGGTTTATTTTAAGGATAAGAAATGAGAATAACATGAACACACGTTACTAGCTGTATGTGTTTAAAAATGATAAGTGCTTATCTATGTGTTTAAAAATGATAAGTTCTTGATATGGTTCTTCCAGGGAAAGTCTCAGAACTCATAATTACCAGTTGTTCAGGTGTTTTGGAGTAAAAACAATGACTTTAAGATGGCAAAACTTTTTATTGTTTTTTTTTTTTTTTTTATTCAAAACAATGGTAAGTAATCCCTTTTTTTTCAGATAGAAATAGAAAAAAATATCAGAAGGGTATCAGATTACTCCAAATGTTATTTAAGTAAAATATTCAATATAAAGCAACTAAAATGTAGAGTAAGCGTTTGTAACTGTTTCTTGTGATCTAGTGTCGGCTTCTAGTTGCTGCCAATACCCGTAGCTGACTGGGAGAAATTTTTGCTGCTGAGCTTTTTAGCCTTTCCACTGCTGCATTGCATAAGAGGGACACTGCTGCTGCTGCTCGGCGTGCTGGCCATGCTGCTATCCTCCTGTGTGATCCCAGTGGAACATCCACGCTTCTGTCGGACCTCGTCACTTTAGCACAGCGTATTACCAGCAGTGATATAGCAAATCAGGCTCTCAAGGCATGTATAGACCTCTAGCTATGTGTCCAGCACTTGTGCTGTGGTGAGCCATTTACATTCTACTTATTCTGCCATGTCAGTCAGTTGCTACCTTACTAAATTTATCATTTTACAATATACTGTTAATTTTTGTGTGATAATTTGAAAATGGCATACACAACAATTTTAAAACACTGCTTACTTAACGCCTTCCTGGCTAAGTCTGTGTTGAAGCAGAGCTCTGGGTTGCCTGTGGCATTATCAGTTCTAGGGATTACAACAAAACAGGGGATAGCTGGCAAAATGGGCACGAGAGTTGTATGATCAGAAAAGAGCTACACATTTAGATGATGACTAATTTCTTCCCCTAATTGTCTGGAGATAAAGTGGAGGTAGAAAAGCAGTATATATTTTTTTAAAATAGAAGAATTTTATTGCTGTCCTGCATTTGACTATCCTACAAGCTGTTCTGTGCTTTTAATCCCTCTTGGAATAAGTGAGATTGGATGGTATGATCAATTTACAGGATTAAACCATTTGTGAACATTACTGAACAATGGAAGCTAAACTCAATAAGATGTTATGAAATTAAAATAAATTGATGGAAACAATTTTATTATTTAAAACAAAAGCAAAAACAACCACCTTAAGTAGTGTACAATCCTAACCAGTATATTTTTGTGTGTATTTCAAAACAGCATATGAATATGATTTGCCATAAAAAATGATGGATGAAAGTGAAGATGTGGTCGAAGATCTGCTCACTGATTATGCCATACAGCTTAGCATTCAGGAATCAAATGCAGCCAAACCACGAATGTCCAGCTTTAGTGACAGGTACTGTAAATT